TGTGACAGAAAGTAGAACTTACCTTGCCCTGGAACAAGACCATAAAGGTGTACTGTTGTCCAGACCATGTCAATGTGAACTCCTCCTTATTCTACTTCCTGCTGGATATTTTAAATGTACATTTTCCATATTTATAGTTGCATATCACTTACCAGATGCTGTGCTAACTTGCTCTAATAAGGACACCACATCTGAAACAACAACTGCAATTGGGGCTACTCCTTGGTTAAATTTCTAGTAGACATCTAGCAGCATGAGCCACCTAGTTTTTGCAAAGGACAGACAGCTAAATTAAAATGGAGGTATAATGGGGACCACAACCCCTGCCTTCTTCAAGTCTTTGCAGATAGCACCAATCTCTATAATTCCCCTGGAATATGATATTGCTTTTAACTTACTATTTTTCACCATGGAACACTTTAGTTTCAGAGCCATCTGCTTGACCTTTCCTTAGACAGTTATTGTCATTTAATAGGTTAAGAAACCACAGGCTAAAGAACAGTTTAACCAACTGCTATGTATGTCCTGATTTTATATTCAGGAACGAGGGAAATGGCTGGGTGACTGTGGGTCCAGTGGGTCTGTTGTGAGATGGACATTACCTGACCTCCATACACTCTAACAGGGGGCTTCAATGGTGTTCTGAGACCCTAGGTATGAGCATCAAACCTGATGCTGTAGTCAACAACCCTTGACATATATTTTCCTTTCCCCAGCATGTAGTCACTTGAATAAATGGCCATAGACCCCTTAGGTGAAAAACGGAGGGACTCACTGCTGTACACACTTGAAGGACCTTCCTTATGAGGAGCCGCTGTCGTTTCTATCAGTGGGTTCTGGGTGCCACTGAGAACTGACTCAGGCTTGGAAACTAGACAAGGGATCTAGACTTTTCATCAAGGTGGCTGACCTCAGCCTTCTGCTCACCTATTTTAATCTCTTTTGATGATATACATATAAAGCAATATTCTTGTTGGCCACCCATCTGTCTTGTCTGTGGGAACACCATATCCTACTAGCTATCTCTATAGACACCTGCAGGCCAGGCCCCCTGGCTGTCATTTTAACTTTGCTGCCCTTTAGAAAACTTTGTCTTGCTCTGACAATTAAATAATGACACTTGCCACTTTTACCCCGGAATTTTGTCATTTCCATCACCATTAAGCACTACCGTTCTCTAAACATTCCTACCATTATTCTACCCTACAGAGGACAGCCACCACTGAGCTTGTCAAGGATGCTGGTGCCCACTTAGCAGGGCATTCCTTCTCACCTTGTTTGTGTGTCTGTGCCTTCTTGAGGAACTCAGTTACCTGATGGGTGGATTTTTCCAGTTGTAGAGGGAAGAGCCATTCTAGCATGCTGACTTTCCTATCCTTTGGGTCCCTTCTTCCAGAGTCTGCCACAGTAGTTCTGGTATTTCTGCTTCCACTTCATTTAATGTACACCATGGCTTATACTAAGCCTCTATGGGCCACCCAGGAATATATTAGAATCATCACCTTTGGCCCTTGCCAGGCTAATTAAACTCTGTGACAAAGAAGAGTGCCCCTGTATTGACAATTCTCCCTCATCCAGTTTTATAGTTCACCTTTCTTCTTCCAGGATCCACTCCCAGACAAAATCTTCTAGCTCCTACTGATACATATTGGCCTGACCTAAAACTCCTTTGGAATGTAAGTTATCTCTTCACCTTGCAGCTCTGCCCAGGACTTGTCCAGTTAGATTGTCCTGAGAGGCCTCTGGATAGTCTTCATTCAAGCAAAATGGGGATGGGGTTTGGGCTAGTAGCTCTCTCTTCCAGCAAGGGGCAGGGGTATTTATCTGCAGACCCAGTGGATTCAGGGGCTATCTGGATATCAACATTCTCATGTATATCTATCTAGATAGCTTCATTCTGAATTTCAAGGCTCTGACTTTGGCTTAAGAGACCACCCCAAACTTAGAATACAGTCTTCTCTGAAGTCTACCATTCTTAAAATTACAGACTCTGTCAGGCCTTCCTTGCTGTCTGACTTTCAGCTGCAGGAGTAAGTCTCTTTGCTTTAGGCTGGTGATTAATAGATCTAAACCTGTTGTTTACTCTTTTCAACATGTTAGTGGCACTTAGCAATAGCCACCAAAACCCACAGTTCTTATAGTTACTTCTCCCTTCTTAATTGCCAGACCCTATTGCTCATCCAGTTTACAACAGGTTAAGTTTGGGCAACTGCACAGTTATGGCACCCCTGGACCTACCAATAGTCCTTCTATCACCATTTGGCTAGACAAAGATCCAACTCCAGAATTCCATCCTCAGAGTTTGCTTTCTAAGCTATCTTAGGTTGGGTTTCCTAGAAGCATAGCTTGAGATAAAGTCTCTTAAGCAAGTGATTTATATGAGAGTGCTCTCAGGAGAAGGGAGTGAGGGAAACAGCAATGCGTGGGGGAAAGCTAAACCAGGAAGTGGTCACAGTTGGAGATCAACCCCAGTCTGATCCATGGGAGCTCAGAGTAGTGTCACATCACATCCTTGGTTCTGCCTTGAGGAAAGGGGCGGGCACCTCCAGGTAATGCTGGCTCCATTTGACCCAGGGTAATACCCTGGGGACTGGTGGCATTAGCAGCTACCACCCACTGCAACTGGAGGATGAAAAAACCTGACCAGAAAAAGAGAATATTCCAGAATACCAAAAGCATTGTAGAGAAGCAAAAAAAAGGGGGGGGGGGGCTTCCTTTTACTCTTCTAGGTTCACTGACTGGACTATGGACATAGGTAGCTTAACAGGAGGAAAAAAATCATTTTAATAACATATGTATGCATGGGAGCCCCACAGAATGAGATTCCAAGAAGGGTCAGATGATTAAAGCTTACACAGCACCCTGAGCTACAGAGAAGAATGAGAACTTTGGGGCTTCTAGGGAAGGGGACCACACAAGTTGCAGGAGGGTGAGGGGAAGAAGTGTATGCTGAGTGAATGTGGTCTGGTTATGCAGGAAAATGGTCTGGCAGGTAATAGAAATTGCCTACATTAGCCTGCAAGAGAAGAGGTGAGTGTCTTTGGGGAGATAAGGGAGGCTCAGAGAAAGGCCCTTCCTGCATTTGTTGTCCCCCAAGTGCCTCCATTTTGAGATAAGCAGCATACCAGCAGCATAATTTTTTTTTTAATTTTTAATTTTAAAGATGTGGGGTACAATTCAGGGTTAGGTATACAACTGTTTATTATACAGGTACTCTTTTGATGAGGTGTGCCTCCCCCTCCCGCAGAAGATTCCCACTACTGCCTATCCTGCCTCCCCTCCTCCCCACCACCCAGCAGTTTCCTGCTACTGCCAATTCTTTTCTCATAGTATTAGGATAATTGTTCAAGGTCTGCTTATGAGTGAGAACATGTGATACTCAGTTCTTTGTTTCTGCGATAAATCACTCAGTATTATAGACTCTAAGTCCATCCAAGTTGCTGTGAAGTTCATAATTTTGTCCTTCTTTATGGCTGAGTAATATTCCATCGTGTATATGTATCACATTTTAAAAAATTCAGTCCTCATTCGATGGGCAGCACAGTTAGTTCCATGTTTTTGCTATTGTGAACAATGCTGCGATAAACATGCATGTGCAGGTATCTTTTCATAGAGTGATTTGAGTTCCTCTGGGTATATTTCCAGTAGGGGGATTGCAGGGTCATATGGAAGGTCGATTTTTAGATCTTTCAGGAATTGCCAAACTGTTTTCCGTGGAATTTGTATTATTTTACACTCCTACCAAGAGTGTAGAAGTGTTCCCTTTCCCCTGCATCCTCTCCAACATCTGTTGTTTTTTGAGTTATTGATGATGGCCATCCTGACTGGAGTTAGGTGGTATCTCAGTTTTAATTTTCATTTCTTTGTTGACTAGTGAGGCTCAGCATTTTTTCATGTATCTGTTGGCTGCTTGTATGTCTTCTTTTGAGAAGTGTCTATTCATATCTTTAACCCACTTTGTAATGGGGCTATTTGTTGTTTTCTTTCCGGCACATTTGAGTTCCTTGTAGATCCTAAATGTTAGGCCTTTGTCAGACATGCAGTGGGTAAATATTTTTTCCCAAGCTGTAGGCTGTCTCCCCACTCTCTCAATGGTTCCTTTGGCTTTGCAGAAGCTTTTCAGTTTGATGAGGTCCCACTTGTCTACCTTATCTCTTATGGCATGGGAACTTGGGGTTCTGATCAGGAATTGGTTGCCAGTTCCAATTTTCATAAGGGTGTCTCCTGCGTTTTCTAAGATTTTTGTAGTTTGAGGTTTTACGTTTAGGTCTTTGATCTATTTAGAGGTGATTTTTCTGTATGGTAATAGGTAGTGATCTTGTTTTAGTCTTCTGCATGTGGTCAGTCAGTTTTCCCAGCACCGTTTACTGAATAGGTTTTCCTCTCCCTAGTGATGATGGAGGTTTTGTCAAAGATGAATTGGTGGAGAAATTGAGGGTTTGCTTCTGGAATCTCTGTCTTGTTCCATTGGTCTATATGCCTGTACTTGTACCAATACCACGCTGTTTTGCTGAGGATTGTTTTGGTTATTTGTGGTCTTTTATGAATTCCTGTGTTGTTGTTTCCAGGTCTGAGAAGAATGACGCTGGTAATTTAATGGATATTGTATTAAATCTGTAGATTGCCTTGGGTAGGATGGACATCTTAACAATGTTGATTCTTTCAATCCATGAGCATGGGATATTTTTCCATTTGTGTCATCTTTGACTTCTTTGAATAGTATTTTGTAGTTTTTGTTGTAAAGGTCTCTGGTTATGAAGATGCCAAGTTATTTCTTTTTTGTGTGTGTGGCTATTTTGAATGGGATTTTACTTTTTTTGGTGGGGGAGTACTGTTTGTTTATTGTTCATGTATAGAAATGTGAATGTCTTTTGCACATTTATTTTATACTCTGAGACTTTGCCAAAGTCCCTTATCAGTGCAAGGAGGTTTTTGACAGATTATCTTGAGTTTTTGAGGTATAGAATCATGTCATCATCAGCAGCATCATTTGGAGTGTCATTTGCTGAACTCCTTCAGTATCCACCAAACCACTCAACTGTTCCCATTTGTTTCCTGAATAGCAAACACTTCCTTAAAATTTTTCTCAAATTCAGCCTCCAGTCTAAGTCCCATTTGGCCAAAATCATTGGACTGGAAAAAATAATAAAGACAAAAATTATGGTCTTCCTTATTACTGTCATTAGACACCTTGCCATTGAGAATAATCAAGACTCTTGTCTTTGTAAAAAAAAATTATTGTAAATTGACAAGTTATAATGTTATATACTTTGGGAGTATAAATGATGTCGTGATTTATGAATGCTATGTGGAATAATTATATCAAGCTAATAAACATACCCATCACTCAAATACTTATATCATTTTTCTGGTGAGAACATTTGAAATTCACTTTCTTAACAATTTTGAAATGCACAACATATTATTACTACGTAGGATTCTTGCTTTACATACCCTCAGTTATATTAACCAGGTTAAACTTGAAAACATATGCAGCTAAGAGTAACTTCTGTTTCCTACAATCATGATTATTTCTTATTAACTAGACAGAATATTGAAATCCTTGCCACAGTTGAGGACTCTTATTTATTTGGCTTTGCTTATTTCAGTGAGTGTTAGAAAAGTAATCTGTGTTCTTTCAACAATTCAAATAGGCATGTAGAAGGCAAAATCACTGATCTCTTCCTTTCTCACTGTCACTTCTATTCCTTGCTGGGGACTACTGTTAACCAGTCTACTCACAGGCAAAAGAAATCTAGAGTAAACGAACATGACTTTAAGAGGAAACTATCTTGTGTGCAGGAGTGAACAGGAATGGATTGTTCTCTCTGGGCTCCTGCCATCCCTGCAGAGAGGAGGGGAATGAGCTTTCAGGAGCCTGGGCTTCTGGCTGCAGGGACAACTTCTGACTCACTGTTACTCTACTATGGTGAGTTTAAGTCCTGAACTGAAAACAATTACTCACTTCCAGAACCTTTGCTTGTGCAGGCTTGTTACAGAATGAGGAAACTAAAAATTTCCAGGCATCAGAAAATTAGGGGGGGCAACTCGGTGAGAAGAAAATGAAATGGAAGCAGAAGGTATCACTTACCTTGTATGATGCCCTGTGATTCTGGAAGATGAGGCGCATGTCCCGCACAAACCTCTCCACTTGGGTGTAGCCCTGTTCATCCAGTTTTTTCTTGATCTTATCCAACCACATGTGTTCCTTCAGGCCTTGACAAGCCTCTCCAATCTAGTGACAAAAATACCAAAGGGAGAGCTACCAGTATAGTTCAATGTCTACCTTCTGTGAATTCCCATTAAATTCAGCAGAAATACAACAAGGTAAAGGTAATGGCAGTTTGTGTTTGCCTCCATGGGATTAGGATCACAAATCTCACAACTGCCCATTTCAGGATCATGCGACATCATGGCAGCCTGTAATCGTGGCTTGCTCTTGTTACTTACATAATAATAATATGGAATCTTGGCAAAAAAGGAGCTCTCCGAACAGCAGTAGACTTTCAAGAGGATGAACTCACATTTCTGCAAAATAAGAAAGCTGTAAATGAAAAGCAACTTGGAGAGGCCCATATGAATAGCCAGACAGAAGGCATGACTCACACCTCTCTTCTGGAAGGTTCCCCAACATGTACAGCTCTTGGAAACAGATATGCAATGGCTGAGTTATTTCTTCTGCAAACAAGTTGTGGTATTATATCGGTGTGATCAAAGTGTGGCTTGGAAGGGCAGGCTCCCTTTGGAGCATTCCCCTGAGCCTGTGCCTGTTCATGCTTCTCGTATGTGAGGGGAAGGGAGAAGTCTTGGGGTTCACATCTGACTCACCAACTGCTCCTCACGCTGCATCTGCCTCTCCAGCACCTCAGACTCCCGATGATGCTGTTGACTTCCTGAAAACTCCTTCATCCTGCAGAAGATGCAACTCCACGGGGTCCTGAAAGGACATAAAGTGAGTAGAGGGCAAGGCCCCCGTAAGTCACCATTGTTCCTGTGGCTGTCACTGTCCTCCTTCCAGAATGGCCAATGGGCTTGGTCATAGGGGTGGGGAACACTTCCCAGAGTGTCCAAGACCTCCACATGGGGTTACTAACCATTGCCCCCTCCCCAACAGTGGTAGCAGCAGGAGATTAAGTTCAAGGAAGATGGCATCCATGAGTGGTGGGCTCTCCTTTCCTTATCTGAGCTGCTGGGAGCACAAGGAGCACTGCCTGTCAGGCCTGAGTGTTCAACGAGGCTTTAACTTCTGAGGACCTCAGCCTCCATCAGCCTGTTGAGACCATAGTGCAATGCAAGACTAGGATACACTTCCTGTCTTTCAGAATAGGCACAGAACATAAGCAACCAGTGTTTTCTGTCCTGAAACCCCCTTGGACAGGAGTTCCTGCTGTAGGAAAGAACAATAACAGCGTGTAAGCAAGCAGGCCCTTTCACTGGCCTCAGCATCTTAACACAAAACATGAACCTTCTGCTGCCAACATCTCATATGGCTCTCTGGGTCATACTGCAGGGTTTCAGTATCCAAGGTACCTGCTTTTTCGCCCATCTAGATACAAGCAGGCATTCTGAATGGGGAGTGTGCATGGCAGGAGGAAAGGTCCCAAGAAGGAGGGAAGAGAGAGGGGACTGCATGTTACTCACCTCCCAGTTTCCACAGCCGGGATGTGACATTCCTTATGGAAGACTCTCGGACAAGTGTCACAGCAGAACAGTGTCCCTCCATCCCGGCACACCTCACATTCATCCAGGTTTCTTTTCTAGGAGGTAAAACTGTGTCTACACCACCAGGATCAGCAAGACCCCAGAAGGCCACCAGTATGGGAACCTAGAACACATTGCCTATGCTTCTCTCTGGGATATTAAAGAACAGCATGGAGTGGAAATTTCAGAATAAGACATCCTAGTGAAGTTTATGCAGTGAAGTTCAGGAGAAAGGGGCTCTGTGTATCAGAACAGCAAAGATTTCCTCATAAAGCCAGAGATTGTAACAGAAAGACTAGCAACAAAACAAGATGATGATTTTTATAGGACTCTGAACAATTTTATTATCTTGCAGATAAAATAAGTTATTGAAATAAAGTATTAAATCTATTTGCCAATCTTACAATGATGAAATCGACTTGTGGAAGAGAGACATGTAGAGAATTAAGTATGATAGAATAACATCTTAGGTATCACTACATCTCATATTTTTGGCTGTAAGTTCCCTATGAATTGAAAAAAGGACCTGGAGGGGAGTTCTTGGACTGTGGGTTCTGTGCCTGGAGGGCTCTGGGCCTGCCTCTGGGGTGAAGGACCACAGGTACAGATGACCAGGTGGGCACCAGAGACCTCAGAGCTCTTTGGCTCTGGACACCTGGGGGAAGAGCCCCCCAAGGTAAGAAGTGTGTTTTCTAGGGGACCTTATCTCCAGGAGCAGAGGAGAGAGTAGAACTTGTGGGAAAACCATTCTAGGCCCTCCTAATTTTACTAGATGTTCAGGCAGCACATAATATTGAGCTATAATGGTAGTCCTTATATTTTGCCTCTCTTGAATGACAAAGGGCAAAGTCCTGTTCTTTGTCAAGAATACACATATATTTGTGTACACTGCAGTATATATTTATTGGTCTCTTTACATTTGTTCTATAAATTCTGTTGGTTTTTTAACAAATAGGATTTGTTCTACAACACTTGGATACAAATACTGTCATATTTTAACTTGTACAAATGAAATTAAATCTGGTTAAAGGGCCCACATATTGAGACTGGGGAGAAATCTAGTGTCAGATGATTTGGGTCCCCCCCCCCACTTTTTTTTAACAGAACAAAATATCAGTTCTTTTATGGGCTCTGAAAATGAGAGTAGGGCCTCTGTCTCCAACCCTGGGTGGTGTCATTACCACAATTCTTGGCCATTAGAGATAGCGCCCACACATCTTATATGCCAAGATAGCTAAGCCAATATGGATAGGCAAACAAGCCCTGTCACTGGCCTCAGCATCCCAGAGAGCACAAAACATGAACGTCCTGTTGCCAGCGTCTCATATGACATATGAGTGTTACCAAAGGGACCATGTGCAACTTATACTTATTTTTGAAAAGCATTCATTCCTTGCCTACCACAGAAGTATTTAAACAAGACAACCACACCTTCCCTCTGGAACCAAGGGGCAGCCCACCCTCCAGAGTTGCTGGTTTTGCACTCTGTTCCTGAGTGCATTCCCATGTTTCCCTGTGTGGTATGTGATGCCCACTTACCTGGGCTGGGAATACACATGACTAATAAATTGCTGTCAATCTCATCTGTCCAGTGTCAAATGGCGTGTGTTCAACTATCCCCCAAAACCTCAGGATGGGATTAAAGTAACAAATATTTAAGGATGTTGTATCCCTTACCTTTTTAACAAGTGTCTTGATTCTCTGGTTCTTTGGTTCTGAGCCTGGCTGTACATTAAAATAATCAAAGGAGACAATATAAAATATTAATGTCCCAGTCCCAAAGTCACCAGCTTGGCTCAGCTTGTTCCTTCTGACTGATGCTTGACCATCTTCAGTTCTGCCTGCACAGTGAAGTGGATGTTTGGGAATTTCCTTTCCATTCCCACCACCTACTTGAAAATGCTGTTGTTCTCTGACATTTGCTCCAACCCCTAATCAGCAGGCCAACCCTACCTATTACCCTTTTAAGATCCATCTTTAGAGACCCTAGTGGTCTAGAGCTTAGCCTTCCACACTCACTATCCAGGGGGAAATGAGGAAATGGGCTAGTTTCCACTGAAGTAAATGGAAAGGATGCCTTCACATGGAGACACCCAACCCCAGACCAATCTACCTGGCCTGGGTGATACTTCTGGTATTCTTTGCTCATCACTTACAGCATAGTTGAACTGAGAGTGAGCATGCTGCAGGGAAAACCAGTAATGACATAGTCAATGTACTCAGGGAAAGGCCTAGACAATTATCTGGTCATAGTTGGAAATTTATACTTACACAAGGGTTGACTAAGGTATTGCTGTGAGACGTCCATATTCTCCACTAAAAAGAGAGAAGGATTGCTTGACAATATTGAATGTAATGTTTGCATCTATTATGTACTTATTGAACGGTTATCCTCTGAGAGGTTCAAGCATTGGTTGTTAAACACAATTTGGGAGGAAAGGCCATTAGGCTGGAGTGTCTTCAGTGCTTTGAGGACTAAACTGACCTTTTTCTTTTCTTACCTAAATTCCTAAGGGACATAGGGAGTCACATTCTACAAACTATAAAGTCTCATCAGATGTTTTCATTAGCCCTATATAATGTAGCTTACTTCCCAAGCTGACTCCGGCATAATATCACATAACAGATAAAGAAGGAAGTCAAAAATATTTTATAACCCTGCAAAGCTGTCTCTTAGAGAAATATTCATCTGTATGGAGTCCTCTTCCCAGGACTCCAGGGCACCTTTTAAGTTACAACCTATTTTCTCTGAAGCCTTCTATTTAGAACCTTCATATACATATCAAGAACTCTGGGCTCCTCAACCCCAGCTCTCCTTATCTTAACTTAGCATTTATTTTACTAACTTCAAATTCTTTAGACAGAGCCTAACTCTTTCTACCAATGGCCAATCAATCTTTGAATCCATCTATGACCTGCAAGTACCTACATGAAGATGTCCTGCCTTCTCAGAGAAAACCTTCACATTTATTGATTTATGTTTTGCCTGTAACTTCTATCTCCTTAAAAAAAAATAAAGCTGTAATTCAACCATTTTGGGGCCATGTTCTCAGGACTTCTTGGGATTGTGCCACAGCCTAGCTCATTCACATTTGGCCCAGAATAAAATTTTAAACTATCTTATAGAGTTTGACATTTTTCAACAACAGCTTGAAGTTTTTACATAAGCAAACCAAAGCCCAATGTAAACAGTATAATGAAACTAGAGACTTTACCAATCCAAACCAATCTGAAACTGCCAGCTAACTTCTAATTAAGGTCTTTCCACTCCAATCAATGAAATGAATTTTCTTTGCTTACTTCCATGTCAGCCTCACTGTCTAGGCTGCTGTTGCACAGCTCTGTGAACCTCTTCTGGTTTTGAGTGCTGCCTGATTCATGAATTGCTCTTGGTTCAAATAAACTCTGTTAAATTTATTTTGTCTAATATGTTTGTTTGCTTGTTTAACAGAGCTCATGCTTTACCTCATGCCTGATTTTATGGACTTATATGTCTACTAGGGAAATAAAGAGTGCCCAAGTACCACTGTTTGGCACAACACAAGTTTCATTCCCAGTAGGGAGTTTGGCTTTACTTTCCACAGGCTGAGCTGGAGAAACTCTACTTGTTCCTTTACTTCCGAGAGCTTCAGTCATATTCCTTCAACTTGTCTTCCCAGGATGTGTCATCCCACTCAGAGGAGCCACAATGAAAATCAGGCTGAGATTATTCACAATAGCAAAAACATGGAACCAACTGTGCTGCCCATCAAAAGAGGACTGGATAAAAAAATGTGGTACATATACACAATGGAATATCATGCAACCATAAAGAAGAACAAAATTATGAACTTTGCAGTAACTTGGATGGACTGACGGTTATAATACTGAGTGATCTGTCACAGAAACAAAAAACTGAGCATCACATGTTCTCACTCATAAGTGTACCTTGAACAACTATTGTAATACTAAAAGAAAGGGATTGGCAGTAGTGAGAAACTGCCAGGAGAGGGCAGGGACGGGATTGGTAATAGTGGGAAACTGTCAGGGGAAGGAAGGCACACCTCATCAACAAGGAAGGTAACTGCATAATGAACATCTGTATACCTAACACTGAATTGTTCTCCACATATTTAAAATAAAAGAATTAAAAATTAAAAAAGAAAGAAAGGAGCCGGGCTTGGTGGCTCAACCTATAATCCCGCGCCTTTGAGAGGCTGAGGTGAGTGGATTGCCTGAACCCGGGGGTTTGAGACCCGCCTGGGCAGGCAAGAACTCATCTCTACAATAAATCAAAAAATTAGCCGAGCATGGTAGCGCGCGCCTGTAATTCCGGCTACTCGGAAGGCTGAGGCGGAAGGATTGCCGGAACCCAGCAGGTTGAGGCTGCGGTGGCCGGGAGCGGCCACTGCACTCCAGTCTGGGTGACAGAGTGAGACTCCAACTCAAAAAGAAAGAAAGAAAGAAAGAAAATCAGGCTGAGGACTCATTCCCCACATCCCCCAGTTACTACAGGGACTAGAGTCCTGGAGGCCATGCAAGTGTCCCAGAGAAGAGCTCCACCAATTTCTGCAGCTCCCTTAGAAACATAGGCATGAAGACAAAATGCCTCCAAGGCCCCCATTGCAGTAGCTCTTCTTCTTGAAGGTCTCCTCCTCTTCTTTCTATCCATATCCCAAGAAAATGTCAGTCTGGCTGACTTTTTAGAGAAGACCTGCAAGATTCATTTCCATCACTTTTCATGTTCAGTAGCATGACTTGGCATCCTTCCTTTCTAGGTTACAGGAAGTCTCAGCTTTTTATCTCTAGTCTAGGTCGGAGAGGCCATGGACAAGGGTGATCCAAGTTGTAAGTGTGATCCAAGCTAGACCTGTCTCTCTGACTGGTCTAGAATTTCCCATTCTACTCTATTAGCTAATTCATACCTGTTTACAAGGAAATTAAAACAATTCTCGAGGTCAATCTTTTTTAATGACTGTTGGGCATTTAGTATATGCTTGATAATTACATGCTAATGAGTGAAAAAAAGAATATTGTTTCACTTAGAGATTACTGATGTCCCTGAAGCAAGTATTAACAAAAAATAAGTGACTATTCTGGTTATGTCAGATTATTTTACCACACCTCAGCTGCCACCAAAGTGTTTAAATGGCCCTTGTCATGAGATAAGAAGCAATCATGTGGTGCTGATAGTGACACTGAAGTTTTCAGAAGTCAAGTGGCTTTAAAAGCAAGAGAATTTCTGAGAGGCATAGCAGATCCATGGAGGTAGTAATGGATCCAGGGATCTGCCACTTAGGGGACCTTCTGTTCCTGCCCATTAAGAGACACAAAATACAGAGGCAACTGTAGCTTCTTGCTGCAAAGTGTTGTACTCATGAATAAGGTAGAGTCTGTTGGTTGGAAACTGCCAACTCATTTGGGTAATCTAGACTGAATTACTCTTAACATCTGGAGAAAGGTAGAAATGCTGGCCTTGAGTGTGCTCATTGAATAAGTCAAATCATTCTTTCATTCAAATCATAGTTTTCTTTCATGAAACCTGAGAAATAAAATGTCCCAGTGGCTGAGAGTTCAAGTCAGCAAGTGCATCAGATAATGTAAAGGCTTGGATCTGAAATTCTCAGTGGAATATGAAGCCCAGTGGCTAGTTATGTGTGACTTGTTTTAGAAATCTGTAAATGTCTTGGATGGATATTTCTACCTGAAGTGTATAAGGATGACACTTTTCCCCTCCCTCTCCTCCTCAGGTTCTCATGCATACCAAGTCTTGGAAAAACGGTCATTTTCATTTTATTCTGAATCTACAATGCACTTACCCTATTTTTTGTTGCCTTCTTCAACAGAAGGGTAAATCATTTTCACAGATAAAAGAGGGGATCTACATAGTCCCTCTGGTGGAACCAAAGAAGTGGTATCAACATAAAAAATTTTCCAGGTCAGCCTCTCCTATAAAATACATCTACCTCCTGAGACCTTCCTTCCCAATAGCACCATTCTCATGAAGGGAAAATTTTATTAGAAAATAAAAAAAATTTATTTTTATTTAATGCACATTTTATTAGAAGGTGAAAGAGGATGTGAAAGATCAGAAATTTTTTTGTTGTTGCTTATTTACTGAAATGATATATAGTTTCATATATGTCTCAAATAGCTGTAAACAAACCATCAGAATTCATTAAAGTTAGAAAACGGTAAAATCAATGAAAAAAATCTGAGTTTGTGTTGAAGATGACCCTCTTACTTTTTTTTATGTATTCCATGGTCATGTTTATTTTTCAACTTTAACACCTAAAAACATCTGCATCTAAAACACAATCAGGCCTATTTTCATGACTCTTTATCACTTCCATCTTGAATGACTTAACATTCAAAGGAAACCTATCTTTATATACAACATAATGTTCAAAGTTGCAACTCTGAAGACACACACCAAAAAAAATAATAATAATTAAGAGACTGAGAGTAGAGAAGGTGGAAACTTAGTTACAATTACCCAAATGACATCTCATAAAATAGGATATTGTACATGTAAAGTCAGTTATGGGACAAGAATATGTAGAAAATTATACAATAATCACCTTATTTTTCCTGCAGTATGTTCTTGGAGGATTAGGTAGAAATTTTTTCTGAAAGATAAAAAGATTCAAGCATATAGTCAATCTGTGTTTCTGTTTTTTGAGTCTGGCTTTTCCAAACTCCTCCCACGTATTCTACATGAATGTTCCCTTGATAACTTTAACCCAAGTGTCTAAATGAGAGACCATCTCATCTCCCTCTTCTCACCTGTACTTTTTCTAGACTTCAACAAATGGAAGCTGGAAATTCATCTTTAGAATATTTTGCTTTTCTTGGGTGCTTCTTTCCTGAGTCCTAAGAAGTCTTCCTTCACAATCTCTTATCTATCACTTCTTCCTTTCCCACCAGTGCCACTAGAGCCAGAGTCCCTATACAAGAGCTATCCAATCAACACACACTTATTTCCTGCCTACTGGGTGTTAGTTACTGTGATCAATCTTGGGCACACAAAGATGGACAAACCCAGAGGGGTCTAGAGAGAAAAATATCATGTAAGGATAAATACAAAGAAGAGTAAGAAGGGTCTTAGTAGAAGGTTCAATATTCATTTGAGCTGACAGTCCTAGATCGGGCATAGGTTTGCTAGGTGGCAAGAGAGTGAAGTAATTTCAAAACCCCAATGCCTGTTTGAATACTGTTTTAAGTGTCATTTCTAACCTTAGATGATTTCTCTTATTTTCTGTTGTCTAGATTAGGACTGAACTCATTTGCCTGCCATTAAAGCCTTCCACAAACCCCACTGATTCTGCCTTATTGCATACAACCTGTGTACCTAAAATCCACAGAGCCACATTTGCCATGGTTCTTTCTCTGAACTGTCTTCTTTCATTTTCTTGACTACTGACTTTCCTCTTTCTTATAGTGTACAAATTGTCTGCGTGCACCCTAGTCAGAATGGTATTTCCCCTCTTCCAAGTTCCTGCATCTATCCTGACAGAGCCCCTTTGACATTGATGTGCTGCACTGTACTATGGTTATGAATTTGGGACCCTTGTCTCCTGTATGAGAGGATAAACTCCACGGCATCAGGGCTTTAGCTGTCACTCAACAAATATCTGGTGAATAAGAAGTGACCTTATTATTAGAGCGCAACAAGGAAAGGCACAACTTTTGCTCCTCATCACTGGAATACCTCCATCAGCCATTGTAGGGGATACCCGCCACAGCGTAAACTCAGCCTCCATTTCTTTGCTCTTGCGTAGCCTCCTTTGATTTCAAATTCCTTGGGGGTGAACCAATTTCCATCCTCACTCTGTATAGACTTCACCAAGACCCCTATGAGACCAAGAAAAGTTGATCCTGAGACATCTTTGCCCTCAGTGCTCAGACTCTAGCCCTTACGACAGTGTATCTAGAGCAACTTAATTTGTGATCCAGATCAATAGCAGGAGAGTCTGGTCTCCCCTATCAGGTTTCAGGGGCTTCAAGCGCTACCTGAAAATTTCCTCAAAGGAGAGAGAGTTCCTGGTGGGGGTGCACATTTCTTTGACCTTCATGCATGAAGAAAGTAATAATTATCAATAGCAACCTTTTAAAAGTTTTGTGAAATCACCTACAACAGGAAAAGCAAGTGATTCTGGAATTTCATTTGCTATTGAATTTTAGGCATAGAGACCAGGCTGGAGTCTCTAGATGGCTCTGGGGATAATAATGTAGAGGCCGAATCCTCAAGGTAAGGCTGAGGTCTCAGATAGGTGCACAGGAGGTCACCCCAGCAACATCTGTACCCCTATTTAATACTTTTCATCCAAATTAATGGTATTATTGAGCAGAGATTTCCCCATCCCTGCAATCATGGGTAGCCAATGTTAAAAATAATTGTGAAATGTTCTCCAGCAAAAAGTTTAAATTATATATAAAAGGTCAACATCACTAGTCATTAGAAAAATGCAAAGTAAAACCACAAAGAAATATGACTTGACACCCACTAGGATGGCCATAATAAGAAAGACAGACAATAACAAGTGTTGGTGAGTGCTGGAGTCTTCATACATTACAGGTAGGGATATATAAAATAGTGCAACCACTGTGAAAAATGATTTGGTCATTCCTCAATAAATTAAACATAGAATTACCAGTCAACTCAGCAATTGTACTCTTCAGTATATACACCCCAAAGAACTGAAAACATATGCTTATACAAAACTTGTATACAAATGTTCAAAACAGCATTATTTATGACAAAGAGTGGAAACAGTCCAAACTGATGAATAGTTAAACAAAAAAGTAGTATATCCATACAATAGAATATTATTAGTCAATTAAAAAAAAGTACTAACACAAGCCACCACAGATGAACTTTGAAAACATTAAGCTAACTGAAAGAAGCCAGTCACAAAAGGGTATGTATTATAGGGCCTTATTTATAGAAAAGGCTTAGAATAGGCAAATTTATAGAGCAGAAAATAGATTAGTGGTTGCTTAGAGCTGGGAGGTGAAGTGAGGTGGAAATGGGCACTGACTGCTAATAGACGGGGTTTTTTTTAGTGGGGAACAAAAATTTTCTAAAATTAGACAGTAGTGGTGGTTGTAAAATCCTATGAATATACAAAAATATCTCATTGATTTGTACATTTTAAGTAGTAAACTGTATATGTGAATTATATCTCAGTAAGGCTGTTTCAAAAATAGTCACAAGGCTAACATATATTAATTGGTGTTCAAAGAGTCATATCAAGAAAAGTCTGAAATGAAGTCTCTCTTATTAGATATTTTTTGCAAAGTTTTATAATTTACAATCACAAAATATTTTACATAAAATATACTACATTTTCCATCTGAGAACTGAAGTTTCCGCACTTCTTTTTGGTTCTTTGGGCGCCCCATGGACACTTCCATGTGGGAGTGAGCATCTAAGGTGTGTGATTTCTTAATGTGTGAGAATGTCATCTTAGGAATTCTTTCCTCCTTCTCTCAAGCCAAACTGACTGCCAAATACTTGAGTGATGTGTAATTCTCATGGGTAATTCCATCACTTATTGTGATTCCTTCAGATAGGAGTTGCAAATTAGAGAAGACCATAAAACCTACCTCGTTTCAATTTCTTCTTATGTAAAATTCCCTTCACCTTACCACAGGTCACTGGAAGTAAAAGAGCCTGAAAATCTACAGTTTCATCTCTGTGCTTGCTTGAAGCTGAAAGAGAAGAAGTCTTCATTCTCACTCTGCAAATGCACATGCCCCCCTCCTCCCTTATTGAGGTCATTCCTATAAAGGCACAGAGGGTACTTAGGACTCTCTTTTCCATAAATTCCTAGAGTTTCAAAGTCTTTCAGCCTAATGGCATTCTTGATACATAACTACAGAATGTCTACCCCAATTTCACCTTTCAAATTTCATGCAAGGTATTGCTTTAGCAGAGAAATTATGCTTCAATAAAACTGTCTTAACTCTTAGTCTAGTAGACCGCACTGATAATTACATGACAATAAAACATACCACTGTGTGTCATTGATTTGACATGAGCTATATAGTTTCACTGCAATTGGGTAGCCAGAGACAAATCAAGAGGCTGTACCCTTATCTTCCCATTAGAGCACTGGTTGGGGGAGTAGGGAGAAGATAATGATGGGATAACATAGGGGTATCTCCAATATGGAGACAACACGGGGAAGTTCCACCTGATTCTACGAAGAAGGCAAGTAATAGGTGCCAGGGACTTGGAGGTGTGGGGGAGGTACAAGGGACTGAGAGCATAACATTTTCTAGTCCTTTCTGGCCACCCACCCAGGTTGTGCACCCCCTGCTGCATCACTATGCCGCCCCCAGGTTTGCAGAGGCCAACTTTTCCCTCCACATTCTTCTAAAACGTGTGAGGACCTTTTCCCAGCCTGGTGACTGCTGCCATCAGCAGAAGGATCAGAATCTCCTCTATCCTGGAACACAAGGCTTTACAGGAACTCTCTAGTGTTCTAGAATTAAAATATGGACATTAAGTGTAGCTGGATCTGGGAAAACTGGAAGACCTTTGTACTCCCCAGATCCCAGCTTTCTCTCCCCTGCCTCCTCCCTGCCCAGCTGGGATTCCTCCAAGCCTCCAACCTCTTGCTCTTAAGGAATTAATGAAGAAACTGGCAGTGTTGTGCCTCTTGGGGTACTGGTGTGTTAGCCAGCACTGGGAGATGCCAGACAAGCAGGGAGAGGCGTGGGGTTGGTAACAGGTGGCAAATGCTCTCCTGTCACCTGGCACCTGTGATGTTGCCAATGGAACAATTCACCCGCCAGCCTGGCCTGTCTGGGTGAGTGAGTCTGCCCTAACCTTCCTCCCTCAGGGAATAACTCCCTTTTTTTGGTTGAGACTAAGGCTGAATGAAATTCAAGGATCCAAGAAACAAGGGAAATGCCCTGAGATGGACTGTTGTTCTGACCTTCCCTGACCTGTTCCCTGGGGAGAAAGACGAGAATTCACATAGATTGTCTATACTCTAATAAGCCAATGCCTAGAAAATTATCTTAGCCTTTAATTTCTAAGCCCTCTCCCATTTCCAGGGGACAACTTTCAACTCCCCAGAGCTAAACTTGCTCTGACCTCTTAAGCTTTTGTACACATCACTGTTGTCTTTGCCTGAAAAGCCTTTTTTCTCTCATCTTCACTCAGTCAATCCCATGTTGCCTTTCAGAATTGGACTTCCTCCTCCTCCTAGAAGGCTTCCCTGGCCCTTCCCACTCCAGTTTGTAAGTTTGCCCTTTGCTCTCTAAGCTTTTACCACATGATTTTGTCCCTGTTCCCTTGCTAATTTAACTATCATTGCATTCCCATTTTCTGACACCCCACCTGGCATGCAGAAATAGTGAATGTGTTAGGAGCCAGCCTTGGAGGCCCACCGACTGACAGGGTCCTGGTGACCCCGGGCCACAGGCTACTGGAAACTCGTTGTCCATCTTTCCATTTCCCACTACGTTGTTTGACCTGTCCCTTTTGCCCATGTGATGACTCTCAGGCATGTTTAAAGGGCTTTCTTTCGCTTGGCTGTGGGTTACAAATCTTGTTTTTAGGGTTAGGATTTGTGACTAATATCTGGTAAAAAGAGGTTTCTGATTGTGTTTAGGCAAAGAATTGTTTTGAATATTTTTGCTTATTATTTGTAATTGTAGTTATGGTGTTTGGACATAAGGTTCTATAGGCATAAGATTTAAGTGTAGTGAAAGTTTATATTAAAGTCTATGTAGGTGATTTATAAGTTTGTTTATAGGGGTTTGAGATACATATTAAAGTTTTAGTATATAAAAAGTTAAAGGGTTTAGATGTAGAATTTAAGTGAGTAAAATAGATTTTCTCTAACAACCGAAACTATCTTGAAGCCTGAATAACATCACTAGAAGTTTCTTCTAAGCTGTTTTTTCCTTAGAGATAGGATGTTCCAGATAGGAAAACAATAAAGGAATTTGAACAAAAGGAAACTACCAAGGGACTTGAAAGACCAAAGAGTTTTTAAGAAGAAACTCCTTGTCCATGAAAAAAGGAACATCTGTGCGAGGTGCTTTGGAAAGGGTCTCCAGGTGCACATTCTTCCATGTAAAGACTGCTCCAAAGCCCTGGGCCAGAAACTGTTGTTCTGGCCCCCAGAGACTTTATTATGGAAAAACCTGTTTCCCTGGATAATTTGAATAAGGAAGCTAAGTTTATAAAAGAGTTAGATTTGTTAGAAAGATTATAATATATATTAGTTAATTTGGGATACAGGTTTTGTTTTAAGTAGAATTGTTTCATGAAAAGCTTTATAATTTTATAATTTTAAGATTTTATATTAACCGGTTGCAGGGACTGTTTTTTACAGGGTAACATCATTGTGTTAGGATAATGTTTTCTGCATTTTGTTTTTGAGTTGGAGTCTCACTCTCGCCCAGACTGGAGTGCAGTGACCACTCCCGGCCACTGCAGCCTCGACCTGCTGGGCTCCGGCAATCCTTCCGTCTCAACCTTCCAAGAAGCTGGAACTACAGGCGCGTGCTACCATGCCTGGCTAATTTTTGATTTATTGTGGAGATGAGGTCTTGCCAAGTTGCCCAGGCAGGTCTCGAACCCATGGGCTCAGGCAATCCACTCACCTCAGTCTCCCAAAGGCATAGGATTACAGGCTGAGCCACTGAGCCCCACTGATAATGTTGTTTTGGGTGGAAATAGTCTCTGCCCTTAGAGAGAACATTAGCCAAGCAACTTAAGCATCATTTTAACATCACAAAAAAATCCATGAATTTGTGGTAAGTGATTTGTTTTGTAATGATGATTTTAACTTGCTCTGTGGTGGTAACTTGCAGAGATTATTTCCCTTGTAAAGAGAAATATAAGCTTGCTGTTAGCTTGCAATAAATGGCATCTGCATTCTCAGAACAGGTGTCCAGTCTCTCTCTCTGTTGAGAGCCAGCCACGGAGTCCCACTGAGTGTTAGGGATCAGGAAGGGCCATTGACCCTGAGACCACTAGGATGCGTTCGGGAGCTATT